AAAATAAAGGCAAACTACAGGAGGCCATCCGGAAGTGGCCAAATAATTGCAGTGATTCGGAGTGCAAAGGGTTAACATAATGTGAATATTAAATAATAGATACTGTAATTCTCAATCTAAGGGTGCAGACAGAGCCGCCTTCATACTTTCGGAGGCCCTAGGAGTAACATCATCGCGAGGCTAAATAAATTTAGCGTGTCCATTTTGAGCGGCCCCTTGTTTTTTCCTTATGAATGTAATATTTAACAACAAGTATTTTATTTTGCAACTGTAACTGAGCTGTTTTTCATATTGTTATTTGTGAAGAGTAAGGTTTCAAAATGTGGCCCCAACTTGCGCCTAAGGCTGTGGTTGTAGTGGATGCGTATTCGGACGAATTGGCGTTCTGACGAATGAAACATCAATTCATACTGCAATGCATACACTCACAAAAATCTGTATACATATTTGACTGTTTGGACATGCTGAATTCGTCAGAAAGTCAGTTCGTCCGATTACGCATCCACTTAACACTAAAACAACCGGAGTTGAATGTACTAAACTTTTCCCTTCTGGTATGTTTAGAGAAGACTGTACCAAAGATCTCCGAAATTAGTATCATTAATGGAAAATGAATTGGGACACGTAATTATTTCTTTATTCCAATCAAAAAGCTTCTTAATTATTCCTGTAATTGAATGGAAGAAATCTGAAATCCGTGAAAAGGACGGATGTGGTAATTCTAGTATTAATGCTCCTTCATAGTAAACGCGGCCCTGGATGCAGAATATATTTACAACAAATTCGCTGCAACATTTTATCCCCTACCAGCCCAGCTACAGAGAGTGTATTCATAAAAGGACGAAAACAGGTAGCGTTCATTTGTTGGCGGGATGCAATCACGGAGGGTTTGGCAAAATGATAGATGTACAGCATCCCTCTAAGCCGTGGGCAAGGGGCGGCATCGATGAAGCAAGTTGGATGGAAGAGGGTTAGGGTAAAGGAAAGGAAATCCGGTTGGCCGCGGTACGCAACCGAGAAAAAGAGAGCAAGAGGACAGGATAAAAAGAGAGGGAAGAACAGAGGCAAAGAGATTGGAGTAGCATGGCAGGGGGATTCCAAGGGACGTATTGATGGTCCTGGAAATTGAAAACGCGCCCAGCGAACCGAAGTGGGTTTGGCCTCCTTCTCTTCCCTGATTGTTTCTGTCGGATGAAATTTCAGGACAAAATGGCGGGTACTTCATGGTGCCCGTGTTTCGGAATTGTTTCGATCGTTTATTTATATTTCGCGTCCTTCAACGAGAAATTGTTTTCTCTTAACAGCAGGAGATCGTTTTAAGTAATATTTTCGTATTCCGAAATTGTTTCCATCGTTTATTTATTAATTCGCATCTTTCGTCGAGACATCGTTCCTCTTAACAGCAAAAGATAATTTTCATCTTCAATAATTTCAATTTCTCTCCTACAAATTTACCTCTGAAAAGATTATTTCCATCAGCTTTAAAATTTTAAACTTGCCGCGTTTGTTATCGCATTCTTAATTTCCATTATTTACGAGGAAGCAAATAATTCGTAAGGAATGAAAATTTATAAAGCAGTTTCTTGCCTCCTTAAATTAAACATACAGGATTCAATTGCAAATCAGTTATGCGTAGGATTTTTCTTTATCGAGAAGCGCGCAATTTGTTACGTTCTTTTTACATAGACCGCGTATTCGACGTCAATTTGTATTTGAACAACGAAACAAACGGAGAATGAAAGTTAACATTTTCCGAAATAGAATCAGGATCAAACTGACCGGCGCGTTGCGAAACTGAAAAGGCGGCAGGTTACGAATTATTCGCGGAACCGTGACTGGCAGTAACGTGGCAACTTGAATAGCGCGCTCGACGGTCACGGTGGCCCATTGATTTCGTATAATATTCGTGAAGAACAATACAGGTTCGAGTCGCACTTTCGACCAACAGATCATTCGTAATGCTTGAAATAAGCAACTTTAAATAATTCGAAAATCTTAATTAAGAGCTGTGTTGCTCGCATAAACTCGTACCAATGATAGGATATCTATTGTAAGGTCGGTTGTTGAAGTGAAACGCCAAATTCCTTTTAAAAATGAATTTTACGAATAAATATACAACGACATTGATAATAAATAATTGATATTATATTGTTAATGGGTTATTTACAATAATTGCACTCTATTTGAAAAAATGGACAATTTTGTGGCAAAACACGTAAATGAAAAGTATTATTGTTCAAACTGTTCTCACACTTTTCCTAATAATTCTATATATTTTCTAAAATACACACTAATATCCATACTTATTCTATAAACAACACATCGATACACAGTTATAGTATTTAATTTTTCAATACTTAATTCACGAATATAGAATTTTGCCAAAAAAAAAAATGTGAAGATTTTGAAACAATTTTCACCCCTTCATTGTGGACGATTGCCAATATAAAAAAAATGTATCGATTATTTCTCCTAGATCTACCGTAGAACCAAAATTTCATCAAAATCGGTGATTATCACTTCCCTGTGCTAAAACTTTCATTTGCAATCAAAACAGATAAACACGCTTGTAACAATAAAGTGTAAAACAGTAATCGTAAAAAAAGGATAATCGAAGATATTCGTGGGAATGGTTGATGGCCGCGTACAACTACGATGCACTTAGTTTCATTTCGTGGGAGTTGTCCGATCGAAGGGTTAGAGAGGATTGATCGAACTTTGTATTCATAACCTCGGATCTTTGGATAACACACCACTCAACAACGATACATCACGCAGAATGAAAAAGAGACTGAAGCAACGATAGAAGGGGATGAAAAGCGGGGAGCAAGGAAGGGGAGAGAAAAGAGAGAAGCTAGTGGTTGGATAGCCACTATCAGAGAGTCGCTATGATTAATGATCGAGTACAATGCTGTTTTCATTAAACTCATTTCACTCCAGGTCCGTATATAACACGAGCATGGCCGACCTATGAGCGGCCGTATGAGCGTCCTTCGACCCTTTTTCACGTTGCCGTTAGCATCCCTTGATTATGACGTCTCTATGATCGCCGACCTTGGCGATCTTGAATGCTATCCAAGTGCATTCAGCCATTGTTACGTCGCGTCATTTTTGATCCTTTGATTATTATCAACGAGAAAGCGTCTTGATTCGCAATCGAGCGTAATCTTCAAAGGAGGATGTTAAAAAATGGCCAATTTTGGCATACGACCGGAACGAAAAATTTTTTTACAGCATGATTCTACGCATCCTAAGAAACGAAAAATGTAATTGTCATTCATCCCGGAAATGATGGGAAAGTTGTGAAAAATGCGGTTCAAGGTAAGAGTATGACCATACTTATAACCGTCTCGTTTTCTTCGGAAACTCATATTGAGTATTATTTACAAAGATTGTTGTACATTAGTGTTTAATAAAAACCAAAAATAATGAAAAATAATTAATGACAAATTAATCGAAACAATTAATTCTTTGATGACACAATGCTTATATTCGAAGCAATCAGAAACCAATAATTATTTATTCTCGAAGTGATAAAAGTTATAATAAACTATCGTAAATATAATAAAATAATCGTCATGACAGGGATACAATAAAAAAGTAAGACTCTAACAGAATTTGCATTTCTTAACTGTGCGTCCGCTATGAAAGCCAGAGGAAAAAGTATCATCTTACATATCAGTCTTACATATACATATAGTTGGAGCCACGATATAGCGAGGTCGTAAATTAAACTCTGAAGAATCGGCAC